ACTCCATCTGTGTTTATATTTGGACATATTGAGTATTTGTGCCAAGTTTGGTCCCAATCCATCATTGTTTATCCACAGTGCTCTCTAGATGTAGGTGAACTACTACTCCAAAACCCAAGGTCAATGCCCACCAAACCCTTCTAGTGTTTTCTGTTGGTCAGAGGAGTCCTGTGTGCCAAGGTTGGTTCAATTCCATAGTTGATGGAGTTCAGAATGCTCTTTGATTGTAGGGGAACTATAAATCCCAGCAACGACAACTCCCAAATGACAAAATCATAATTTTTGTGTGATAGTCACTCCATATGTAGTGAGACGTTTTGTTGCCAAATGTGGTGTGATTTCGTTCATTGGTTCTTTTGTTTTTAAGGTACTCATTATGCACAGAGCATTTTTATATATATAGATGTGTTGCCTTTTATATATTCAATGCATAATGCTTATGCAAAATCAGAGCATTAAGACACAATGACTTAAATTGTGTCTTTCCTTTTCATAAATCGTAGGGTTCTTTCCATTCACCTGCCTGTTTGAAGAAACTCTGAAAACTTAGATGAAAGCTAAAATATAATCTTGCGATGTTTTGGTTATTTGGTTTGGAAAAAAAGAAAATTTATGGGACGGGGGGTATGATCAAAGTGTATAAAATGAGGAGAAAGAGGAGAAATACTCTTCTCTCCTAATAGTAGAACTAGATATCATTCAGTAAAGCAGTTCTAATTTTCTAGGTGTGGGAACTGACAGCCAACAATGTGATCATGGTTTCTGCTATTGGGAACGACGGCCCTTTATATGGGTAAGTCCCTCTGTAACCTTCTGCTAATGATGTGCCCGTGCGGAGTAACTTCCATTGATTACATATTTTTTCTTGTTCATAAATAATGTAAAAAGACCTCCTCCTCCCCACAAATAACAATAATGGTGGCAAGAGTGCCTTCCCTCTAAGTAAATTGGTACTTTGACTTCTCTTCAGGAATATTGATCCTTCAGATGTGAGCTTAAACTGCAGCATGGATAATTATTAATTAATTAAACTGTTCAACGGAGAAAAAGTTTCGGGCCTGAAAATAGCTGTTCTTTTATGATTTTGGGGTGCTGAAAACGAAAACGACATTTAAAAATGTATATTGGCTCTAGTTTTTATGATATAAGCAATCACGTGATGACATATGGTTGAAAAAATGCATTTGCGACTTACACTATGGAAGATTCTAGAATACTCTAGAAAGTTTGATGACACAGTATTAGTGCCATGTGCAAAAGCCAGAAAGCCCTATATAAGGCCAGACTTTTTAACGGTGAGGGTCAGTCAGTTGAAGACTGAGACAGTATCGTTAAACATCGTTTTACATTGTTCTTTTTACTGTAGTTCTGCCTCGCACGTGTGTAAATAAAGCACTATGGAAAAAAGATATCAAGGCCAATGGACTCCGTCAATGCTGTCAGACTACTGCTGGAGCATTGGAAGAGACAATCCTTTCCTTGAATACAAAAGAAAAGTCAAGAGAAGCAAACAGGATAGAAACTAAAGTCACGATTAAAGCGACATTTAAACTTTCAGACTTTTCAACTGCATTGTTGTTGTTCATTCGTTCAGTTGTCTCCGACTCTTCGTGACCTCATGGACCAGCCCACGCCAGAGCTCCCTGTCGGCCGTCACCACCCCCAGCTCCTTCAAGGTCAGTCCAGTCACTTCAAGGATGCCATCCATCCATCTTGCCCTTGGTCGGCCCCTCTTCCTTTTGCCTTCCACTTTCCCCAGCATAATTGTCTTCTCTAGGCTTTCCTGTCTTCTCATGATGTGGCCAAAGTACTTCAACTTTGTCTCTAGTCTCCTTCCCTCCAATGAGCAGTCGGGCTTTATTTCCTAGAGGATGGACTGGTTGGATCTTCTCGCAGTCCAAGGCACTCTCAGAACTTTCCTCCAACACCACAGCTCAAAAGCATCGATCTTCCTTCGCTCAGCCTTCCCTAAGGTCCAGCTCTCACATCCGTAGGTTACTACAGGGAATACCATGGCTTTGACTAGGCGGATCTTTGTTGCCAGTCTGATGTCTCTACTATTTACTATTTTATCGAGACTGGACATTGCTCTCCTCCCAAGAAGGAAGCGTCTTCTGATTTCCTGGCCACAGTCTGCATCTGCAGTCATCTTTGCACCTAGAAATACAAAGTCTGTCACGGCCTCCACATTTTCTCCCTCTATTTCCCAGTTGTCAATCATTCTTGTTGCCATGATCTTGGTTTTTTTATGTTTAGCTGCAACCCGGCTTTTGCGCTTTCTTCTTTCACCTTGATTAGAAGGCTCCTCAGCTCCTCCTCGCTTTCGGCCATCAGAGTGGTGTCATCTGCATATCTGAGGTTGTTAATGTTTCTTCCAGCCATTTTCACCCCAGCTTTGCATTCATCAAGCCCCGCACATCCTCGCATGATGTGTTCTGCATACAAGTTAAAAAGGTTGGGTGAGAGGATGCAGCCTTGCCGGACGCCTTTCCCAATCTTGAACCAGTCTGTTGTTCCGTGGTCAGTTCTGACTGTTGCTACTTGGTCCTTGTACAGATTCCTCAGGAGAGAGACAAGGTGGCTTGGGATGCCCATCCCACCAAGAACTTGCCAATTTATTATGATCCACACAGTCAAAGGCTTTAGAATAGTCAATGAAGCAGAAATAGATGTTTTTCTGAAACTCCCTGCCTTTCTCCATTCTCCAGCATCCGGATATTGGCAATCTGGTCTCTCGTTCCTCTGCCTTTTCTAAACCCAGCTTGAACATCTGGCAACTCTCGCTCCATGTCTTGCTGGAGTCTTCCTTGCAGGATCTTGAGCATTCCCTTCCTGGCATGAGAAATAAGGGCCACTGTACGGAAGTTTGAGCAGTCTTTCGCATTTCCCTTTTTTGGTATGGGGATAGAAGTTGATTTTTTCCAGTCTGATGGCCATTCTTGTGTTTTCCATATTTGCTGCAACTGCATTAGGCCTACTAATATAGTTTCTTGCTGCACAAACATAAACAATAGACTAATTAAATAAATATTTCTCATGTATAAACTATTGGCAATATAATTTGACTAAAATTTAGTAAATATTCACGGTTTATATATATGCAGTAAGGTTAGGCGCATTATCATAATATTAACGAATTACCTATTGTGGAGAAAATTGAAATAGCTGTTGCATAAAAACTGGAGCCAATTAACACATTTAATTATTATATTTGAATTCAGCATGTTAAATTTATTAAGAAATGGCACATTTCGTTTACGTAACTGAGAAAAACTGAAAATTTGTAGAACAGTGAATTGGAAATGTTTGCCAAAAGAATTAGTGATCTTCTTTAGCTGTGTGCGCGCCTCTTGTCTCATCTCACATCATAATCTTGAGGGTTAAAGAAAAAGGTTATGATGGGGTGGGGGTGAGGGTGAGAATTTTGAATGTTGTCCTCATCTCCTTGCAGAAGTACAGACAGAGATATGTTAAATAGATAAACAGCAAATATAAATACTCATTTCAGCACGCTCAATAATCCTGCTGACCAAATGGATGTGATTGGTGTGGGCGGCATTGACTTTGAGGATAACATTGCCCGGTTCTCATCAAGGGGAATGACCACCTGGGTAAGCATTTCCACAAAACCTTTATATATTTTTTTGCACCAAGCTACTGTATAGGTCAGAAGTGATACATACAACACAATAGCCCACTTGTACACAGAAAGAAAAATAAATCAGTTCAGCCAATAATGTGACTGGTGAAACTTATTATACAGTTCCAAAACATAGCATTCACAAAACAATATTATATGTGTTTGGTACAGTCACTCAAAAAAGTATCAACGCTGTATGTTCTTGCATTGAGTTGAACTTAAATCCGTAGTCCACGACTGGTTTTGGCCTCACTCCAGGCCTTCCTCTGGTGGGCTAAAATTATATATATACTAGCTGTCCCCTGCCACGTGTTACTGTGGCCCACATGGGGGTTCTGTGTGGGAAGTTTGGCCCAATTCTATCGTTGGTGGGGTTCAGAATGCTCTGTGATTGTAGGTGAACTATAAATCCCAGCAACTACAACTTCCAAATAGATTCTATTTTCCCCAAACTCTACCAGTGTTCCCATTTGGGCATAATGGGCATATTGAGTATTTGTGTATAGTTTGGTCCAGATCCATCATTATTTGAGTCCACAGTGATCTCTGGATTTAGGTGAACTACAACTCCAAAACCAAAGGACACTGCCCACCAAACCCTTCCAGTGTTTCTCAACCTGGGGGTCAGGACTCCTGGGGGGTTTCGAGGGGGTGTCGGAGGGGTCGCCAAAGACCATCAGGATACACAGTATTTTCTGCTGGTCATGGGAGTTCTGTGTGGGAAGTCTGGCCCAATTCTATCATTGGTGGGGTTCAGAATGCTCTCTGATTGTAGGTGAACTATAAATCCCAGCAACTACAACTCCCAAATGTCAAGGTCTATTTTCCCCAAACTCCAACAGTGTTCACATTTGGGCATATTGAGTATTCGTGCCAAGTTTAGTCCAGATCTATCATTGTTTGAGTCCACAGTGCTTTCTGGAGATAGGTGAACTACAACTCAAGACCAATGCTCACCTAACCCTTTCATTATTTTGTGCTGGTCATGGGAGTTCTGTGTGCCAAGTTTGGGTGAATTCCATTGTTGGAGGAGTTCAGAATGCCCTTTGATTGTAGGTGAACTATAAATCCCAGCAACTACAACTCCCAAGGTCCAGAGAATAAAATACATCCTGCCTATCAGATATTTACATGACGATTCATAACAGTAGCAAAATTCCAGTTATGAAGTAGCAACGAAAACACTTTTAGTGTTGGGGAGGTCACCACAACATGAGGAACTGTATGAAGGGGTCGTGGCGTCAGGAAGGTTGAGAACCACTGGATTAGAGCATTTTGAGTTAAGAGCTTGGTTACAGAATTAAACTCTTAACTCAAGATATCACTGTAGCTCACTTTCCTGCATAATTTTCTCCTCAAGGAACTGCCGGGAGGTTATGGCAGAGTTAAGCCAGACATCGTGACCTATGGCTCTGGAGTGAGAGGTTCTGGCATGAAAGGCGGGTGCCGTTCACTCTCTGGTACCAGCGTGGCCTCCCCTGTGGTGGCTGGGGCAGTCACACTTCTGGTGAGGTAAGGAATCGGTGAAAATGTTTGCTTGTGTAGTGATATATGTAAAGAACCCTTACCTTATTAGAAGCCAGGGTGCAGGGCCTGGAAAAAGCCTGTAGGCCGAGAGGGATAAGTAATGGACAAGGCGAAACATCAGTGGCCATTTTAGAGTAGGGAAGACACCATCTTAGAGATTTTCAGAGAGGGGGGCGTGTCTTAGGCCTAGTCAAAAAGCCAGCAGGGAATGGCTGGGATTGGTGGAGAAAAGGGGGGCGGAGTTTAGAAGCTGAGAGGAAAAAAGGAGCATTTTAAGTTGGTTGGAGTTTGGGGTTTGAAGAGAAAGGGAGTTTAGAAGTGTAGTGGTGTGAGAGTTAGGAAAAAAGGCCTAAGTCTGGTCAGGGGGTAGCTAAAGCAAACTGACAGCTATTAGGAGAATAGCTGGGTAGTAGCAGGATAGAATCAGGCTAGATTTATCTGGGCTACTGAAGAATCTCTGGCAGAGACACAGTCCTGTTGGGATTCTTGTTTTGTTTTGGAGGGAGAGAAGAAACTCTTTTGTAACAAAGATAGAACCATTCTTGTAACCATCACGCTTTTAAGACACAACTTTCTGTAACAGCCAAGATATTGAAGCATTTGTTCCTGTTCTAATTAATAAACTTTGTTGATTATTGTTCATCAAAACCTGACTCAAGTGTCCCTCTATGCTTGAAGATTCCCAAAGCAACTTCAATCAGTTTTGAAGAAACGAATGGTGGCAGCATTGATAAGTGATCTGAATAGATCTTTATTATTTGGTCTCCAGCGAATGAGATCAATCTGCTAGGTCCTTTACAATTGGTTTGCAGCGGTGTGGATCTTTATAATTTGGTGGCAGCGAGTGAAATCTGTTTTATCGGATCGCTATAATTGGTGGCACAGTGGTGTGGATCATGTAACACCTAAATCCAGTACATTTTAAGATAATCCTGAGGTAAATTTTTACCAAAAATTGACATTTTGAAATTACCTCAGAGAAAGAACATCATTAGCGCCATTTTGAAATACAATAGACACCATGGCACCTCCCAAAGCAAAGAAGGGCACTTCTGAGGAATCAGAAAGAAAGTGAGATAAATGGTTCCTCCTAAAAACAAGAAAGCTGGAACTTAGAGAACATGAGAGAACTCCTAACTTAAGTCAGCAGCGGACAGTTACTGCAGAAGAACAAAAGGAGGCTGAGAAAGAAAGCATGGCTGATTTAAAGAGGGAACATGAGAAGTTGACTATGGCAATACAAAAGTTGAATCAAAGCCATGTACATGAAGCATACATGATTGTGAAAGGTACAGAGTTGCTGAAGAGTTCCGCAAATCTAGTTTTGTTAATGGCGACATGTTTGAGGGAAGGAGGAGATTTAGACAGTGCTATAGAAGTTGTGGCACAGGCTGTTAAGTGGCACCAGGAGTTTCAGCCAGGGACTCCAGGCCATTTGTCCCTCATCAAGAGAGCCAAGGTCCTAGCTGAGGTTGCTAGAAAGGATGAGAAGGTGGCTCAGGAGGGTGAGAAAGACAAAGATGGCGGAGCTGACTCTGGGCTGGATGGCGAGGCTAAGGGAGTGGTACAGAAAGTTACCAAGGGGCCCGTCACGGTTGCCAGGGAAGCGAGAGCCAGTGAAGAGAATATAGAAACAAGTGAGATCTGATTTATCGATCTGTTAGGATCTTTATAATATACATAAGCAAAACCTGTGAAATATGATCGGAGTTGGGAGTCCAACAACATTGGGAGGACCTTACCTCCCTTTCGCCTGGATTATTTATTTATTTACAACATTTATATGCCGCCCTTCTCACCCCAAAGGGGACTTGGAGTGGCTTACAAGATATATAAACATACAATATATTGTATTATTAGCACAGTACAATATCAGTATTAAATATTACTATATTGTACTATACCATTATATTGTAATTTTATTAGTAATATTACATGTAATATAAATATATAATTATAATATCACTAGCCATCCCCTTTCACGCGTTGCTGTGGCCCACATGGGGGTTCTGTGTGGGAGGTTTGGCCCAATTCTATCGTTGGTAGGGTTCAGAATGCTCTGTGATTGTATAACTACTACAACTCCCAAATGTCAAGATTCTATGTTCCCCAAACTCCACCAGTGTTCACATTTGGGCATATTGAGTATTCGTGTAGAGCAGGGGTCATCAAACTTTTTAAACAGAGGGCCAGGTCACAGTCCCTCAAACTGTTGGAGGGCCGGATTATAATTTGAAAAAAAAGCATGAATGAATTCCTCTGCACACTGCACGTATCTTACTTGTAGTGCAAAAACACTTTAAAACAATACAATAATTAAAATGAATAATAATTTTTACAAATATAAACTTATTAATATTTCAATGGGAAGTGTGGCCCTGCTTTTGGCTGATGAGATAAGATTGTTGCTGTGGTTGTTGTTGTGTGCTTTCTGGTAGTTTCAGACTTAGGTTGACTCTGAGCGAGGCCTGGGTAAATGACCCCCGGGCCTTAGTTTGAGGACCCCTGGTGTAGAGTCTGGTCCAGATCCATCATTTTTTGAGTCCACAGTGATCTCTGGATGTCGGTGAACTACAACTCCAAAACCAAAGGACACTGCCCACCAAACCCTTCCAGTATTTTCCGTTGGTCATGGGAAAACTGTGTGCCAAATTTGTTTCAATTCCATCGTTTGTGGTGTTCAGAATGCTCTTTGATTGTAGGTGAACTATAAATCCCAGCAACTACAACTCCAAATAACAAAATCAATTTTTTTGAGTGAAGGACATACATTGGGTTGTTAGGTGTCTTGTGTCCAAATTTGGTGTCAATTCGTTCAGTGGTTTTTGAGTTCTGTTAATCCCACAAACGAACATTACATTTTTATTTATATAGATATTATTACTATTAGTATTATATTGCATTACATTATAATATTATAAATATTATATGTATATACAATATATTACATTACATTATAATATTATAAATATTATATGTATATACAATATATTACATTACGTTATATTATATGGTCTTATTTATAATAATTTACACATTTTTAATAAGCTTGTGAGACAAGCGTATTCGCTTCCTTCTTTTCTCTCCCTCTTTTGTTGTTTCGACAAGTGTAGTCAAAGATTTGGAGCAGCTGCTGTTTATCTTGTTTATTGTAGACAGGCCCATGCAGCAACAGTAGGATCAACTTTAGAGCAGAATCCAGCTCTTTCCCAGCTCAGAGTTAATTTTGTTTTGTATTGCAAACACCTTGCTGCAATTGAATACTTGTAGGCCTGTGTTTCTCTAGACCTCCTTCTCTGTCCTCTCAGTGACAATGTGGCTTAAAAAAGGTCCAACTAGACAGAGGATAGGGAAAAGGGAGGTACGGGAAGGTGTACGGTGACTTTTTGAAAGAGGATTCCTTGTCAGAGGTTTTGATAACTGAATAGGCCTGTAATTAAGTTCTCAAAGATGCATTTCCAGAAATAAAATCAATTATTTAAACCAGACAATGATTTTACTGTGATCGTAATACTATCTGCATGTTTAATAGTGTAATATTATATAATGGTTGTCATTTTTAGCACAGTTCAGAAGCGTGAAATGGTGAACCCGGCTAGCATGAAACAGGCCCTGATTGCCTCGGCCCGCCGGCTTCCGGGAGTCAACATGTTTGAGCAAGGCCATGGCAAACTGGACCTTCTCAGAGCCTATCAGATTCTCAACAGTTACAAACCACAGGCCAGGTGAGGCTTTTTCAAAAACAAACTCGGAATAAGTCCTTGCGTTGAGATGTCTTTCCTTCAAGAAGACATCTGTGGCAATGATAAAGGAAATCGGCTTTCTGCTTTTTTCCAGTTCTGGTTTAGTTCGTAATTAAAAAGGGTGTTGCTAGGACATAAGGCAGAGACATCTGAAAGGTTTGAGAATGAAAACACAAAATGACATCTTTGGTTGTTAACACGAGAAGATAGTGGGAAGGACCGATTATATTTTTATTATTAGGCACATCAAATAATATTTTAATATTTTGACCATGATAAATGCTTGGAAAAACACTAAAAGCAAGGGATCTTTTTTATTGGATTGTATAAGTAGAGTATGACTTGTCACCATTATATTACAGAGGAATCTATAAGGGGAGTATTAAACATAATAAAATTATTTGAAAAGATATCAGGTATAGCAAATGCTCCCACTCCTTCCTCCAGATTCTCTTATACTCGAGTATAAGCTGTCCTGAATATAAGCCGAGACACCTAATTTTACCACAAAATACTGTGAAAACCTATTGACTTGAGTATAAGACAAAGGTTGGGAAATGCAGCAGCTACTGGTAAATTTCAAAATAAAAATAGATACCAATAAAATTACATTAATTGAGGCATCAGTAGGTTAATATTTACATAAACTGTAATTTAAGATAAGACTGTCCAACTCTGATTAAACCATTATTCTAACTTTCCTCAATGTAAATGTGCTTACGTATCCTTCCAATAATAACAAAGAGAGTAAAATAATAAATGTAATAAATATAATAATAATAATAATAATAATAATAGAGTAAAATAATGGAAATAATAAAGAGCATAATAATAGAGTAAAATAACAAATAATAATGGAGTAAAATGATGTAAATGTAAAATAACAATAATAATAGGGTAAAATACTAAATGTAATAATAATAATAAATAGAGTATAATAATAAATGCAAAAAAATAATATTAGAGTAAAATAATGTAAATGTAATAATAACAATAATAATAGATTAAAATAATAAATGTAATAGTAATAGAGTAAATAATAAATATAATAACAATAATAAACAGTAAAATAATAAGTGTAATAATAATAAATACAGTAAAATAATGTAAATGTAATAACAATAATAATAGGGTAAAATAATAAATGTAATAATAGGGTAAAATAATAACTGTAATAATTATAATAGTGTAAAACAACAAATGTAATAAAAATAATAACAATAAATAGAGTAATATAATAGAGTAAAATAATAAATAACTGACTCCACTATAAGCTGAGGGGAGCCTTTTCAGCCTTAAAAAAAGGTTGAAAAACTCAGCTTATACTCAAATATATATGGTAATTTGAATCCAGTGTCCCATCTCAATTTGGCTGAACAATTGTTGGAGCCAATTGCTGGTGTTAATGGCTACCAAATCCTCTGCTTCTGCTGAGTTTGGTTATCATCTTTGGATTTGGTCTTTCCCTTGACATTTAATATTCTTCATGTTCACTCTTCCCATGACTTTGTAGATATATATAGCACCAGTTTAAAACTTTAACATTTAATCTTTCTGGTTGTATTTTATGTTGTTTTGACATCTAAGACGTTTACTTTGAGGCCCCAGGTGCATTCATATTGTTCCTAGGAAGGCAATCATTCAAAAGAATAGGATTTTAGGGGCGCCCAAGCCACATTTCTTTGTGTATGTTTTGCCTGCCCTAACCTTTTAATGGCTGCATGTTCCTATTTTTCCTGATTGTTTAGTTTGAGTCCAAGCTACATCGACTTGACGGAATGCCCTTACATGTGGCCTTACTGCTCCCAGCCTATTTACTATGGAGGCATGCCAACCATTGTGAACGTTACTATCCTTAATGGAATGGGAGTCACCGGCAGAATTGTGGATAAGGTACGCTTTGAAAGGTTGAGCAATTGAAGGCTATTCGTTGTGTTTTCCAATCTCAAGTATATTAATGGACTAGATTTTTTTTAAAGGTGTGTGTTTGCCAAACTTTTCTTCCATCCTCTTGTCCTGCCCTCTAAATAAATAAGGATATAGAAAACAACAGTGAATGGAGCAGAAAGATATGCATCAGAGCAGATCAAGGCTTCCCAGCGAAGAGAATTGAGGGTTTTTTTTGTCGTGTCAGGAGTGACATGAGAAACTGCAAGTCGCTTCTGGTGTGAGAGAATTGGCCGTCTGCAAGGATGTTGCCCAGGGGACGCCCGGATGATTTTGATGTTTTTATCATCCTTGTGGGAGGCTTCTCTCATGTCCGCATGAGGAGCTGGAGCTGATAGAGGGAGCTCATCCGCCTCTCCTCGGATTCGAACCTGCGACCTGTCGGTCTTCAGTCCTGCTGGCACAGGGGTTTAACCCACTACTCCACCGGAATTGAGTGATGCAGCGGCACAAACCCAATTAGAAATGCATTGTAAAGTTGCTGCAGATCTTTTCTGTCTTTATTTCTATCCTGTCTTTATTTATTTATTATTTATTTAAACCCTTTATATTCCATCCTTCTCACCCTGAAGGGGACTCAGGACGGAGCATAGCATATACACGGCCAACATTCAATGCCAGGACACAGATTCACATACAATACATAAATATTAAAAAGCATTTATCAAAATATTAAATTCCCCCTTTTAAAACTATCCCAGTCTTCTGTGCCAAATCTAATTGGCCTGTTTCCTATTCTGCTTTATTGCCCTGTCCTATTATTTCCTATTGCTGTTTTATTGCCCTGTCCCGAAAGCTTGGTCCCACAGTTTTTACCATCCTTCTAAAGGACAGGAGGGAGGGGGCCGACCTGATCTCACCAGGAAGGGAGTTCCATAGCCGGGGAGCAATCACCGAGAAGGCCCTGTCTCTCGTCCCCACCAATCGTGCCTGTGACAATGGCGGGACAGAAAGCAGGGCCTCCCCAGAGGATCTTAATCTCCGCGATGGTTCATAGGGGGAGATGCGTTCGGACAGGTAATTTGGGCCGGGGCCATTTAGGGCTTTATAAGCCAAAGCCAGTGTGCAGGTACAGCTGTACCAGGAGCTCCAATTTTGTTGCTTTGCATTGAATGTTTGTTGTAGTCCTAAGTTTCAGGGACTCTGCAGATAGGTGGCTTCTTTTGGCTGCAATCATAGGGCAAGCCACCTGTCAATTATAGTTAGGTTCCCTGGTCCCGCCCCCTTTTTGGGTTTTGGAGGAAATAGGAGCCATTTTGGGTTCAGTCCACACAGAGAAGCCTTTCATGCAGGACATAATACCAAGAGCTCCTGTAGAAAGCTTCGTCTTCTACAGCTTGGCTGGGGTTATACAGCCCTACAGTTCCTTTGCTGAAGGACTTCAGTCAGCCATCACGGAAACCTGAATTCTTTTTCCCCCTGGAAGTCTACAAAGCTCTGCTTGGTAAGGGTCACTCGCGGAAGCCAGAAGCAGTTGGTACCGGGTGCAGGGGCTCCACGCCAACAGAGGCAAAGACAGACTGCCCAGGTTAGAAGTTAAGGATTTCCCCATTAGTTACAGTTATGAAGATAGTGCCTGTTCCCTGTGGACAAGCTTGAGAGAGAGCCAATAGACTGTTAAGAAAGCCTTAAAGTACCTGTTTGTTTTCATCAATAAAGAACTTTGTTGAACCTTTAAGCAATCTAAAGACTCTGTTTTAAGGAAATCCAAAGGCCTTTAATCTGAGGCAGCCCCGGCATCCCGTTGGGCACACGGAATTTATGTCCTGTCTACAGTCTTATGCACAGGCCCAACGTGCGACAGCACACATCTTGTTGTGTGCCCGGTAGCAAACTGGCAGCCAGTGGAGCTGGCGTAACATGGGAGTTGTGTGCTCCCGGTATGCCGCCCCAGTTATTAACCTGGCTGCCTCTCGTTGGACTATTTGAAGCTTCCGAGCAGTCTTCAAAGGCAACCCCAGGTAGAGTGTGTTGCAATAGTCTATCCTATATGTAACGAGAATGTGGACCACCGTGGCCAAGTCTAACTTCCCAAGGTACGGGCGCAGCGGGCGCATGCAGCTGTGGATAAGTCTACATAGGGACCACCAAACGCAGCATTGCCCAAACACAAATCAAGGAACATGAAAGGCACTGCAGACTACTTCAACCAGAGAAGTCAGCCATAGCAGAGCACCTGATGAACCAACCTGGACACAGCATATTATTTGAGAACACAGAAATGTTGGACCACTCTCACAACCACCATGTCAGACTACACAGAGAAGCCATTGAAATCCACAAGCATGTGGACAATTTCAACAGAAAGGAGGAAACCATGAAAATGAACAAAATCTGGCTACCAGTATTAAAAAAACTCTAAAATTACAACAGCAAAACAACAGAGGGGAAACAAACAAGGACATCTAATCACCTCTCAACAAAAGATTCCCCAGGCATTGCCAGGCCATCAAATGCTAATCAAGGTGGTCAGTTGAAACATTCACACCTAGCTCCAGAAGACAAGAGTCGTTTGTCCCACCCTGGTCAGTCCACAGATATATAAACCCATTTTTCTAGTTCCAACAGACCTCACTACCTCTGAGGATGCTTGCCATAGATGCAGGCGAAACGTCAGGAGAGAATGCCTCTAGAACATGGCCATATAGCCCGAAAAAACCTACAACAACCCGGACTGAATATTATTTCTACTTTAAGTGTTATACACAAAAAAGGGGTAGACAGTGCCACTGCAATTTCCACTGTCCACCTGCTTCTAGCCCTGCTCTCCGTTTTAAATATTTGCCCATTAGTGAACTAACCGGCTTTCTGTTTTTATTCTGCACAGCCTGAATGGCAGCCATATTTGCCCCAGAACGGAGATTACATCGAGGTGGCTTTCTCCTACTCCTCGGTCCTGTGGCCCTGGTCGGGATACCTTGCCATTTCCATCTCCGTTGCAAAGAAAGCGGCTTCTTGGGAAGGCATTGCGCATGGACACGTCATGATCACCATCTCCTCTCCATCAGAAAATGAGGTGAGTTTACCTCTTTTCCCCCCACTGCTCAATAAAACCTTCAGTCGATGGTGTTTTTTTAGGCACAGTTCTAACGTGGGCCACAATGCCTTTGGAAGTCAAGCATATTCTCTCAGCATATGCATAACAGCCTTTATGATTTGTGCACTGCAAGATATTTATTTAGTGTCAAAAGCACTGCATAAATAAGTATAAAGCTGATAAAAATAGGAGCACAAGCGCTGAAATAATTTTTATGGGCAACAGCAACCACATTATTTTTATTTTTATTTTATTTCAAACATTTTCACCCCACCCTTCTCAACCCCTAGGTTTCCAATTGGCAACAATTTGATGCCGCATATAAAATACAAACAGCAATTATAACAGTTAAAAACATAAACATTAAGACATAAAAATTAAAACAGTATACTTACAGTCCATTAAGCTATTGCCAGTCTGGTGGCTGTTTATCTAGCCATATACTATTGAGTACTCCGTTTAACTTATCCAAATCCATTCCCAAGCCATAGTAATTTTTCAATTGTCCTTTCTGCCTAATTGCCCGAAGACCTGGTCCCACATACACATTTTTACCTTTTTTCTAAAGGTGAGGAGGGATGATGATCACTTAATTTCCCCTGGAAGTGAATTCCACAGGCAGGGGGCCACCACCAAGAAGGCCCTGTCCCTCGTCCCCACCAAATGTGTTTGAGACAGAGGCAGGGCCGATAGCAGGGCCTCCCCAGAAGATCTTAAACTCCTAGGTGAGACATAGAAGGAGATACGTTCGGACAGGTACGAACCGTATAGGGTTTTATAGGTCAAAACCAGCAGTTTGAATTGTGCTTGGAATCGGATTGGCAGTCGGTGGAGCTGACACAACAGGGGGGTGGTATGCCCCCTGTATGACACTCCAGTAAGTAGCCTAGCTGCCACCCATTGGACCATTTGCAGTTTCTGAACATTGTCTGTAGCTTCAAACAATTCTTCCTCTGTGCATGAAGCAGGGCATTGTGGACAAGCATACAGATACGAAGCTGTTTGTTCTGTTCCACAGTTGCACAAGGTGGAGGATTCTTCTAGGTCAGCATTTCTCAACCTGGGGATCATGACCCCTGGGGGGGGGGGTCGCAAGAGGGGTAGCAGAGGGGTCACCAAAGACCATCGGAAAACACAGTATTTTCTGTTGGTCAAGGGACTTCTGCGTGGGAAGTTTGGCCAAATTCTATCATTGGTGGGGTTTAGAACACTCTTTAATTGTAGGTGAACTATAAATCCCAACAACTACAACTCCCAAATGTCAAGGTCTATTTTCCCCAAACTCCACCAGTGTTCACGTTTGGGCATATTGAGTATCCATGCCAAGTATGGTCCAGATCCATCATTGTTTGAGTCCATAGTGCTCTCTAGATGTAGGTGAACTACAATTCCAAAACTCAAGGTCAATGCCCACCAAAGCCTTTCAGTATTTTCTCTTGCTCATGGGAGTTCTGTGTGCCTAGTCTGGCTGAATTCCTTCATTGGTGGTGTTCAGAATGCTCTTTGATTGTAGGCGAACTATAAATCCCAGCAACTACAACTCCCAAATGACAAAATCAACCCTCCCCCAACCCCACCAGTATTCAAATTTGAGTTTATTGGGTATTTGTGCCAAATTTGGTCCAGTGAATGAAAATACATCCTGCATATCAGATATTTACATTACAATTCATAACAGTAGAAAAATTACAGTTATGAAGTAGCAATGAAAATAATGTTATGGTTGGGGGTCACCACAACATGAGGAACTGTATTCAGGGGTCACAGCATTAGGAAGGTTGAGAAACACTGTTCTAGGTAGTGCCATTTTGCCAGGTTGTCTTTTGATCTGCCCACTCCACTTCTGATTCTGTTCATGTGTTGTCATTGTCATTTCCTAATTGGTTGTATTATAAAAACTTGAAAAAAGTTTATTAAACTGCCCAAACTTTGATTTTGCGGGACGGACATATTGCAGCACATTCCACTATAGTTTTTCAACTAATCTCATCAAATCTCAACTAAGCAACAAAATAAAGTTTCTGGAGCAGAACAACTACTTTCAAAATAAGTACAATGCTGCACAATTAAACAGAAAATAATATTTTCAAACGAGGAATAATAATAATAAATGTTACCTAGTGTTATCAACATAGCCTTGGGCAAAATAATGGGTTCTCTTTGGGGAAAGAATTCCCAATAGACTTAATTTTTTGTTTCCTTTTTCTCTCAGTCAAAAGCTGGCGTTGAACAGACTTCCACCGTGAAACTCCCCATCAAAGTGAAGGTGATCCCGACTCCCCCTCGCAGCAAGCGCGTCCTGTGGGATCAATATCACAATCTCCGCTACCCGCCGGGATATTTCCCGAGGGATAATTTAAGGATGAAGAATGACCCCTTAGACTGGTGGGTTTGTTTCTAAGAAATGAATAGCGACAAATTATGCGTAATTGGCAAAATAGAAAGTACAGTACGACCCCTGCACCACCTGCAGGAAATGCTTTCTAGGACTTTGTGTTGATATGTGAAGCCATGGGAAATATTTATGATTTTATTAAACAGGCTGCCATAGAGTCATGCTGGAGTAGGAGAACACTTTTTCTAGACATCTCTTGAGTTGTCCATTGTGATTCAATGTTCCATTTAATGGATGGCTTTCACAGTATTCAACCTTATTTCTCTCACAGTTAGCAGCAACTTCTCGTTGCACGTGGGGGGGGGGGGCACAGTCAATGCCAGCTAGCTTATTATTTATTTATTTATTTACTAGCTGATCCATCATTGTTTGAGTCCACAGTGCTCTCTGGATGTAGGTGAACTACAATTCCCAAACTCAAGGTCAATGCCCACCAAACCCTTCCAGTGTGTTCTGTTGGTCATGGAAGTCCTGTATGCTATGTTTGGTTGAATTCCATCATTGGTGGAGTTCAGAATGCTCTTTGATTGTAGGTGAACTATAAATCCCAGCAACTACAACTCCCAAATGTCAAGGTCTATTTCCCTTAAACTCCATCTGTGTTCATATTTGGGCATATGGAATATTCGTGCCAAGTTTGGTCCAGATCCATCATTGTTTGAGTCCACAGTGCTCTCTGGATGTGGGTGAACTATAATTCCCAAACTCAAGGTCAATGTCCACCAAACCTTTCCAGTTTTCTGTTGGTCATGGGAGCCCTGTTTGGCCCAATTCCATCATTGGTGGAGTTCAGAATGCTCTTTGATTGTAGGTAAACTATAAATCCCAGCAACGACAATTCCCAAATGACAAAATCAATTTTTTTGAGTGGAGGACATAAATTGGACTGTTAGGTGTGTCCAAATTTGGTGTCAATTCCCCCAGTGGTTTTTGAGTTCTGATGGTAGCACAAACTAACATTACATTTTTATTTATATAGATTTATTTGGCCAGCCATATGACCATTTAAAATGCAACAGACCTAAAGAAAAGAGCACATTTCCTGAAAGAAGGAAAATAATAATAATAACAACAACAACATTTTATTTATTTGAGCAGTCATATGATCATTTCAAAATACAACAGACCTCAAGAAAAGAGCACATTTCCTGAAATAAGAACCAGGAAAATAATAATAATAATAATAATAATAATAATAACAACAACAACAACAACAACAACAACAACAACAACAATAAAAACAACTATGAACAAAATCTGGCTACCAGTATTAAAAAACTCTAAAATTACAATAGCAAAACAGCAGAGAGGAAACAACCAGGCACATCTTAACACCTCTCAACAAAACATTCCCCCAGGCTCAGCCAGGCCTTCAAATGCTAATGAAGGTGGTCAGTTGAAACATTCACACCCAGCTCCAGCAGAGAAGAGCTCTTTGCCCCACCCCAGCCATTCCACAGATATATAAACCCATTTTCCTAATTCCAACAGACCTCACTACCTCTGAGGATGCTTGCCATAGATGCAGGCGAAACGTCAGGAGAAAATGCCTCTAGAACATGGCCATATACCCCGAAAAAACCCACAAGAACCAAGTACTGTTATTAAAACACAGCAGACCTCAAGAAAAGACCACATTTCCTGAAATAAGAACCAGGATATTTGTGCCAAATGTGATCCAGTGAATGAAAATACATCCTGCATATCAGATATTTACATGACAATTCATAACAGTAGCAACAGTTACAGTTGTGAAGTAGCAACAAAATAATTTATGGTTGGGGGTCACCACAACATGAGGAACTGTATTAAGGAATTGCGGCATTAGGAAGGTTGAGAAACACTGGTCTAGATAATATGCAAAGTATTTACTTGAGTAATAAACATGTTTTCGTAGTTCCTGACTTTCCACAAGGATTTAATGTGCGTGTTTTGTTTTGTAATTAATTGGTCATGGAGGCAAACATGGGATGAGTTTGCAAATCTAATTGCTGACATATGAGTATAGAAACCCTGCTGTGAGATGGCAATCTAGTTAAGGCAAGGGAATGCTCATTTGATGTTTTGCTTGATCTATGTTGTCACAAATAATGCACTTAAAAGGCTCTGTAGGCCTTGCCTCCTCTTATTTTTTTTGGCAGTTTATAAGCCAGGGATAACATTTATGTATTGACACTGCACAGTAGTTGTTTTCGCATATAGATAGCACAATTGCATCTCTTTTCCTCCCAGTGTTGGTGGGCTTACATGGGATGCGTGTGATAGGATTAGTCTGGAATCATTCACAGAACATATTTCGCATGTTAATTGAAAGCAATCTGATAGAAACATAAATTCTATATTTCCTCTTAGGAATGGTGATCACATCCACACCAACTTCAGGGATATGTACCAACACCTGAGAAGCATGGGGTATTTTGTTGAAGTCCTGGGTTCACCGTTTACCTGTTTCGATGCTAGTCAGTATGGTAAGTAATTGGAAACTTCCTTGTCTTGACTCAGCTCAACGTACATCTTCATTGTTTTGGCTGCAAAGCTTAGAAGACTTGAGAAATGCCAAAATAGACTCTGATTTTGATTGAGTTCATCTGTAGGAACCAATGCCTTCCTACAAGGTGTGGCTGATGGGTGTTGCAGTTCAGCTTTTCATTTGGATCGCTGAAGTTTGCCCACTGTTGTTGTGTGTAATTGAAGTGAGTACACACAGTTGTGAAATACGTAGGCTTGAAATATGTCATATTAATTATTGCTTTCAAATCCACCTTTCATTTGTTTTGGACATGAAAGTATATCGGGGAATTATTTTGTGCTAGCTGTACCAGCCATGCATTGCTGTGGCCAACCTTCCCTCCCTCTTTCTCTCCTTTGCTCCCTCTTTCCTTCCTCTTCCTTCCTTCTCTATTTATTATTATTATTATTATTATTATTATTATTATTAAACTTTATTTGTACCCCGCTAGCATCTCCCGAAGGACTCGATGCGGCTTACAAAGGCCAAGGCCTCAACACACAACATAACAATACAAAACCTAAAGCAAATTAAAACACTAGGGCTGGGCGGTTTCGTTTCGTTAATTCGTAATTCGTTAATAATTCGTTAATTTTTTCAATTACAAAACGATAACGAACCATTCTGGAGCAATTATTAAAAAAAACGAATTTTCAAAAACGTTTTGTAAATGCTTCGTATTTCGATATTGTATTCGTTTCGTTATTGTTTTGAGGTCGTTTCGTTATTATTTCTGCATGTCTGGGCCAGTTTTATGGTTTAATTAGTGAAAAAAAATTATAATATCACACCAACAGTCAACAACAGAGGGAGAGGGAAGCTTCAGAAGGTTTTGGAGGTTTTTTAGCGTATTTCGCGGTCGCGTCCGCCATTAACGAATCGATTCGTTATTGTATCGGAAATCGATTCGTTAATTTTTTACCATTTACGAAATTTCGTAAATATCGAACTTTTTAAAAGGAAAATTTTGTAATTATTTTAAATATCGAAACAAAAAAAAACCCCCAAATACAAATCGATTTTAGAAACAAATTTTTCCGTTGTTCAACAGCAAATTAAAAACAATTAAAGCAATATTAAACAACAAGCAATAAACAATACATCAAGACACAATAAAACTGGGCCGGGCCAGAGTAATGGGTACAGATTAAAAGTGCTGATGTGACAGGTGATATGTAAGGGTTATAGGGTGCCTGGGGGCTATTATCCTCAATAAAGGAGGGATGGACGTGGCATCTTTCCCCCAGGGGATTGCTTCTTGCCCTCTTATAGGAAACTGGAACTCCCAAAAACCCAAAACACTGTAAAATTGCTCAAAATAAGTTTTATTTATCACAAAGTCATTTCTTTAAAGCAATGAGCTGGAAAACTTCAGAGGGTGAAGGAAAACATACTTTACAGTCTCAATTAGTCCTGGGTCCAAGGGGTTTGAAGCTGAGAAGCCTCACCAGGTTTCCTCTTCCTCAATGGCTGTGAATGCCGGAGCAAACCACAACCCCAGTTCAGATGGCCTATGTTTTGAAGATTCAGGATCTTCCTTTGGTGCCAAAAGAACCGGCTTGAAGGCGCTGGGTCTCCTCAATGTTATCCAGGATGATCTGGACATAAAGCATGAGTCCCCAGGGTAGAAAACCTCAGAACTGGTGCTAAGAGGTAACTTAAATCAGGGTCCTTAAGAATGAAGTCTTTTACTCACGTCCATGTGGTATGATCTCTGAAGGCAGAATGAAGAGAAAGGAAGTTCTCCCCTCTTGCAGGAAGAGGTGGAGCCAAACAGTACTGATTGACAGCTATAAGTAACCAATCCATACAACTGTACATAAGCAGGATAAAAGAGCAGGATTAAGCATGATACAACAGTTCTTGTCTAACAACTAACAGTTCTATATATAGGTGGCGCCACTCGCGCCGTCACATAAGGATTATAGGGTAAGTGCAGTGTGCAGTGTGCAGCAATCTTAATTCTAATAAAGTGCTTTTGGGATTTGTTATTGGAGATTCCTATTCTGGAAAGGCACATCGGAACAGCCAGGTCTTCAAGTTCTTTCTAAAGACTGCCAATGTAGGGGTCTGTCTAAGATCTTTAGGGAGGGTGTTCCAGAGTCGGGGGGCCACCACAGAAAAGGCCCTGTCTCGCGTCCCCACCAAACGCGCCTGCGACGCAGGCGGAATCACGAGCAGGGCCTCTCCGGATGAACGAAGTGAGCGCGTGGGTTCATAAACGGAGATGCGGTCACGCAGGTAGGATGGTCCCAAACCGTTTAGGGCTTTGTAGGTAAGCACCTGCACCTTAAATTGGGCTCGGAAAATAAACGGCAGCCAATGGAGCTCCTTGAACAGGAGGGTTGACCTCTCTCTGTAAGGAGCGCCAGTTAACATCCTGGCCACTGCCCGTTGAACCAGTTGGAATTTCCGAGCCGTTTTCAAGGGCAGCCCCACGTAGAGCGCATTACAGTAGTCCAATCTAGAGGTGACCAAGGCATGGACCACCCCGGCCAGATCAGCCTTTGTGAGGTACGGTCGCAGTTGGCGCACGAGTCTCAATTGTGCAAAAGCCCTCCCGGACACCGCCGACGCCTGAGCCTCAAGCGTAAGCGATGAATCCAAGAGGACTCCCAAACTGCGGACCTGTGGCTTCAGGGGGAGTGTAACCCCGTCCAACACAGGTTGCCACCCTATACCCCGATCAGGTTTACGATCGACCAGGAGGACCTCTGTCTTATCGGGATTGATCTTCAGCTTGTTCCTCCTCTCCCTTTTCCTTCCTTGTTCTCCTTCATTCCTTCTTCGTCTCTTTCATTCCTCCCTTTAATTTTGATGCACAAAGAAGGTCCTTCTGGCTCCTTCCTCCCTCTTTCTCTCCTTTCTCCTCCTTCCTTTCCCTCTTTCCTTCTTTTTTTCTTTCCTTCTCTCCATCCTTCTTTCCTTCCTTTTTTCTTTTCTCTTTCTCTTCCTTCTCTACCTCTTTCCTTCCTTTGCTTTTTGCTTCCATCCTTCCTTCTTTCTTCTTCCTCCCTCTTTCTCCTTTCTTCTCTTTTCCTTCCTCTTTCCCTCTTTTTCCTTTTTTCCTTCTTTCTCTCCTTCCATTCTCCCAAGAAGCAGGAATGTTGCATTCAAATCACCCCTGACAGATGGCCATCCAACATTCCTGCTTCTTGGCAGGGGGTTGGACTGGATGGCCCATGAGGTCTCTTCCAACTCTTTGATTCTATGATTCTATACAGCATTTAAAACCTATGGCCGGGCCAAATGTAATAATTAAAATTTAAAATTTAAAATGCTGGGCATGAACAAGGTAGGATAAACTAGGATAGGGTTTTCAGAGAGAGAAAGATGAGGGCGCACAAACAATCCTAAATCAATATTAAAGTGCATTTGAGGACATATTGCTAAGAGTTTTCCTTATTCTGGGAAGGCACACTGGAACATGTTATTGCTATTGTTATTGTTTATTGCTTATTGTGTATTTTTCTGTTTTTGAGTTTATTTTAACTGTTTTGTATTGACTATTCGTTATCGCCTTTGTTTATTGATGTGCTGTGGGCTTGGCAGGAAAAACGAAATGCAAAGATACAGAATGGGGGATGCCTGGCTCGAGAGCAGTACGTGTGAAAAAGATCTTGGAGTCCTCGTGGACAACAAGTTAAACATGAGCCAACAATGTGATGTGGCGGCAAAAAAAGCCAATGGGATTTTGGCCTGCATCAATAGGAGCATAGTGTCTAGATCTAGGGAAGTAATGCTACCCCTCTATTCTGTTTTGGTTAGACCACATCTGGAATATTGTGTCCAATTCTGGGCACCACAATTCAAGAGAGATATTGACAAGCTGGAATGTGTCCAGAGGAGAGCAACTAAAATGATAAAAGGTCTGGAGAACAAGCCCTATGAGGAGCGGCTTAAGGAGCTGGGCATGTTTAGCCTGAAGAAGAGAAGGCTGAGAGGGGATATGATAGCCATGTATAAATATGTGAGAGGAAGCCACAGGGAGGAGGGAGCAAGCTTGTTTTCTGCTTCCCTGGAGACTAGGATGCAATGGAACAATGGCTTCAAACTACAAGAGAGGAGATTCCATCTGAACATGAGGAAGAACTTCCTGACTGTGAGAGCCGTTCAGCAGTGGAACTCTCTGCCCCGGAGTCTGGTGGAGGCTCCTTCTTTGGAAGCTTTTAAACAGAGGCTGGATGGCCATCTGTCAGGGGTGATTTGAATGCAATATTCCTGCTTCTTGGCAGGGGGTTGGACTGGATGGCCCATAGGTCTCTTCCAACTCTTTGATTCTATGATTCTATGTAAGCTGCACCGAGTCCCTTGGGGAGATGGTAGTGGGATACAAATAAAGTATTATTATTATTATTATTATTATTATTATTATTATTATTATTATTATTACCTTCATATGGGTCTCCCCGAAGGGCTTCTTGGCTGGGGCTGAAGACCCATCCTGTTTGCTGCCGGTGGTTTTGCTCCAAAACCCAAACCAAAGGCCCAAAGTTCTTGGGCCTGCGGGGGCCTGCCAGGGCTTGCACCAGAGCACTGAGTAAGCAGCGCTCCTTACTCGGCGCTCAGGTGCAGGCCCTGGCAGGCCTGGGCACATAGGCCCAAAGCGTCCGGGCCTGAAAGGACCTCCACTCCGCGCTCGGGTGCAAGCCCTGGCAGGCCCCAGCCTGGCAGTTGATCTGAAAAGCAGGCTTGGAGCCGGTACCTGCTCCTACCTGCCTTTTGTATCAAGTTTATTTTCGTTCCAGGAGGGGCCTTTCCGTTCCATGCCATCTGAATGGACGGAACAAAGTGAAAACATGAATCAAACAAATGATACAGATACCAGGCTCATGACTATTAGCTAGTCCTTGAGGATTCTGAATGCCTTTCCCTCATGTATACACAGGGACCCTGCTAATGGTGGACAGCGAAGAAGAGTATTTTCCCGAAGAGATCACTAAACTGAGGAGGGATGTGGACAATGGTCTGTCTCTCATAGTATTCAGCGATTGGTACAACACTTCGGTGATGAGGAAAGTCAAATTTTACGATGAAAACACAAGGTATGGAGTTTGGGAAGCCGTGCGAGCTGTTTGCAATTTGGAGACAATTTATTTTCCGGCAATTTTGGGACTAGTAAACCAAGCAGAACACTAAAGGAATGAATCCCTGTAGTGCTATCTACACTTCTGAGAAGGAATGCACTTCTAATTGGCTTTGATGAATCAATTTAAAGAGCACTGTGACTATAATCAATGCCTCCAGGCAGTTTTAAAAATATTAATTATTGGGAGTTATTAGGAGACACCTGTTCAACCCCACAACTATTGTCTTGTGGAGTTCCTCAGGGTTCAATATTGTCTCCCATGTTGTTTAACATCTACATGAAGCCGCTGGGGGAGATCATCCGGAGTTTCGGGATACGGTGTCATCTGTACGCGGATGATGTCCAACTCTGTCACTCCTTTCCACCTGCTACTAAGGAGGCTGTCGAGGTCCTGAACCGGTGCTTGGCCGCTGTGACGGTCTGGATGAGGGCGAACAAATTGAAATTGAATCCAGACAAGACAGAGGTACTCCTGGTCAGTCGCAAGGCCGAACAGGGCATAGGGTTACAGCCTGTGTTGGATGGGGCCGCACTCCCCCTGAAGACGCAGGTTCGCAGCTTGGGTGTGATCCTGGACTCATCGCTGAGCCTGGAAACCCAGGTTTCAGCGGTGACCAGGGGAGCATTGCACAATTAAAACTTGTGCGCCAGCTGCGCCCGTACCTTGGGAAGCCTGACTTGGCCACGGTAGTCCATGCTCTGGTTACATCCTGTATAGACTACTGCAACGCTCTCTACGTGGGGTTGCCTCTGAAGACTGCTCGGAAGCTTCAAATGGTCCAACGATCGGCAGCCAGGATGCTAACAGGAGCGGCACTCAGGGAGCACACAACTCCTCTGTTGCGCCAGCTCCACTGGCTGCCAATTTGCTACCGGGCACAATTCAAAGTGCTGGCTTTAGCCTTTAAAGCCCTAAACGGTTCTGGCCCGACCTACCTGTCTGAATGCATCTCCTCCTATGAACCAGTTAGGACATTAAGATCGTCCGGGGAGGCACTGCTCTCGATCCCGCCGGCCTCACAAGCACGCCTGGCGGGGATGAGAGACAGGGCCTTCTCAGTGGTGGCCCCTCGGCTGTGGAACGCCCTTCCTGCAGATATTAGATCGACCCCTCCTTGCTGGCATTCCGGAGGAAAGTAAAGACCTGGCTGTTTGAACAGGCATTCGACTAAGCAGTGTGATTGATTGACTATCGGAACACGGAATATCGGATAACGAGTTTGGATTCTGATTTCATTGATGAGACCTGATGGATTTGTTATATTGATGTAGTGATGTATTGATATTGATGTTTAATGATTTGTGATGCTATTGCTTTTAAATGCTTAATGATTTTGTATTGTGTATACCTAAATTGTTGTAAACCGCTCTGAGTCGCCTAAGGCTGAGAAGAGCGGTATACAAATAAAGTAAATAAATAAATAAATAAATAAATAAATAAATAAATAAATAATCCATATCAATTTGCAAAAACCGGAGATAGGAAGTGTTGTTCAAGAAGAGGCATTTTTTTCCTGTGCAAGAGCAGGGGGGATATTTCTTCTAAAATGATGGTCTTGTTCAGATGTGGCCACAGACCAACAGTTACATTAATCCCACAAACAAACATTTCATTATATATATATATATATATATATATATATATATATATATATTTCTGCATATGCACAAATATATACACACACATATACGCATACACACACAAAACACATATACACAGACTGGGCCGCAGCAACATGTCTGAATGTGATGTTCTTGATAGTGGCTCTCTTGGCCATGGATATTGAGTGATGGAATGAATCTGATTTGGTATGAGAAAAATTGTGGGCTTTTCAGGACTAGAAAGTGGTGATGTGTTATGGATTCTCCCCTTTATTTCTCCTTTTTTTACAGGCAATGGTGGATGCCTGATACCGGGGGAGCCAATATTCCGGCCTTGAACGATCTTCTCTCCGTCTGGGGCATGGCTTTCAGTGATGGGCTTTACGAAGGGGATTTTACCATGGCGAGCCATGAAAGTAAGTAAAAAGAAGGCTTTGTGTTTATTTCACAACAATGGCTGATCATGTGATTAAGAATTCGTTTTGGAATGATAACATTTTGCCAAATTGAAGATGGGAAATTTATTTATTTTATTTATTTCCTTAAAAAACAAATATAAAAAAACCAAAAAATAAATTAAATTAAAAATTAAAAAAAGAAGGGGGAAATGGAGTGCTTGTCTTATGTATAAACCTTTTTCAGAGGTATAACACCCCTATCTTGTTCATGCCCAGCATTATTTTTTAGACTTCAATTACATTTGGCCCAGCCATAGATTTTAAATGTGCACTGTATTTTGTTTAATGTTTATGCTATTTGTGTATGAAATTTATTTTAATTGCTTTGTATTGTGTCTGTTATTGCTTGTATTGATGTATTGTGGGCTCGGCCTCATGTAAGCCA